CCCTAAGTGATACTATATGCCTTCCTACTACGGATACATATTCTTCTTCTTCTTTTAGTTTTTCTGCGGTGCCTCGCTTGATGAGAATCGTGTCTGCGGTGCTCCCCGCTTGTGCTGTCTGAAGAATCGCTATGTTGTGGTGCCTCGCTTTGACAGAATCGCTACCGCTAGTCACCATTTAAATCAACGTTTTCTTGGAAGGTTACCAAGTGGTAGAAGGTGGTGGTGGTGGTGATGATGGTGAAGATGATGAAGAAGAAGATGAAGATGATGATGTTGTTGGAGGCCCACCGTACAATGGTGAACCTATACGATTTGTACCTATACTTTTCCAATTTCGATCTTATATGAAAGAAATAACTAATACGATTTGTTTTCTTTGTGTCTTCTATTAGATTTCAATCGTTACATTGTGAGAGTCAAGGGAGTTACACAATATATGAATCTTGGCGGATGCTTCGCATCATGGCTAATATTAATGAATTTGACCACCTCCCTAAGAATGATGGCATACGAGGTACCTTGCTTGTGTTCTCTGTTGGTTTCTCTTCTTTCACCTCCATTTGAGTGAATGTGTGTGCGTGGTGAGGTTGAGTGTTCAATAATCTACTGTCTGCAACTGCAGACCAATTTTCAGTCAAGGCTGTAGCTTGGTGAGAACACTAGACTATGGGAGTGTTCGGCTGCCATTATAAGCCTGCTTATAAGCTAGTCTGAAACTGCAGACCAACTTTCAAAGGATAGTGGTTGTTATGGCCTTAGAGTAGATGGTAGAAGTACTGGCCGGTATTGTCTAGCTATGATAGTTAGTATTCTTTTGTACTAGCAAAATACTTTTGGGGGTGTTCGGCAAATCAGTTGCAGCAGTCGCACCAGTAGCCAGCAGCAACTACAAGCAGCCATAAAGAAAAGGGTTAATTCGAACGCTACCATTGTAACTCTTCGAGTTTAGAAATATACCATTGCAATTCGTGATATTGTAAATATGCCATTGTAATTCCCGTAAAACGTGATTCATGCCATTAACTAGGCTTTCAGGCGTTCGTATACGGCAACATGTTTAGTATGGCCCGTATTGCCCCTGTCCAGTCGCCGCAGCACCTCCATCGCACGTCGCATTGCCTGCAGCATCCGCTCCTTGGGCGGTACTGTGCCCAGCTGTCCAGCTGACCTGTATGTTGCATTGGATTGCCCGGCTGACCCGTCTGAACAAAGCATATGCCATAAAAAGGTCACAGATAATTTGATAACAAGTTAAAAACTTCTGATAATTTGATAACAAGTTGAACACACTGAACAAGGCATATGCCATAAAAGGTCACAGATAAGTTGATAACAAGTTCACAGACTAGTGCCTGGACTTTAACTGACTACAAGTTCACAGGACTTTAACTAAATACAAAGTTCACATGACTTTAAATGGATACAAGTTCACAGGGCTTTAACTGAACAAAGCACGACCTGATTAATAAAATTCAAAAGCATGGCCTGATTTCTAGTTCAAAAGCACGGCCTGATTACAGGTTTACAATCACAGCCTGATTACACACAGCAACCATCAAAAGCACTCGACATTAAGATTCAGGAATCAGTGACTTGAGCAGTGAGTTGGGTATTAAGGAACTGTGACAAGCTCGTGACAACTCTAGGCTGTGGTGTGGCGGCGATATACATTGCTTTTTCTTCACTGGAGTCTTCTTCTTGGGCGTCTTCTTCCTTTTAGGACTCTTTTTCTTCTTTTGTGTTGCCTTCTTCTTCACCTCTGACAGCCCAGCAGTGTCATCATCTTGTTGCCGTTTCCTGCATAGTATAGTGGTTAGCACTAGGTTCAGTACAGAATGCACAAGAAATGCTTTGAGAATGAGTCACTAACCTCTTGTTCTGTGATCTGCCCCCAATTTCTCCATCAGAGTCAACCTCAGCAAATTTGCAAGTCTTGGCAAAGTGACCGAAGTCACCACACCTTTTGCACTTCACCTTTTTCTTGTTCGCTTTCCCTTCAAGGCAGCCCCTAATTCTCTGTACTCTTGGTCTGCCTGGTGGTCTTCCTAGCAAGGGTGGAAATATTGTGAACCCAAGATCCACCACAGGCCACTATGTTCTGTCTGGAAAAGGCTCTACTCTTCCTTCATAAGCAGCCCTAAATCTTGGTACAGAATAATATTCATGCACATAGTCTTCTATTTTCATTCCCCTATTGGACAGTATCCAAGCTAATGCATGCTTGCAGGGCTTGCCTGTGAGCTGCCACTCTCTGCATGAACATGAATGATGTTGGAGATCAACTGTGTGTCTCCTCTGATTGTTCCAGTTGTCTAGAAGTGTCACTTCAGCCACGTCTTCATCACTACTTGATACCTTAACCACTTTGAGATTATTGCTGATAGCATTCAACTCCTTCATGACATTAGGGAGTATACCATCACGCATTTCCCTAGCAATCTTCCTCCTCAAAAACCTCTTTTCCATGATGAGCTCTCTCGGGCCATCAACCAATTAGCAAAGCAGTGAGTCCTTTCATGTGCCTCGATCCGAGCATTAAAGCTCTCGAGATACATTGTTGGTCAAGTAATCACATTTACTCTTCTCTGAAAACCCACATCTGTACCACGATCTGTTGTGATCTTTGCTCAGGAATTCTATGGCATACGGTGCAACATCAAATATCTTCGCATGTGCCACTTGAACAGCCCCTGTGTGTAGCTTCTTTCTCATTGGATACAAATGATCGGTGAAGACATCTCCACGATAGTGCTTCGTGAAATTTGAATACAAGTGCCTCATGCATTCTCTCAGTACAAACTTATGGGGAACACTACTCCCACTGCACTTCCTAAACCTTTACAAGCATCTGTACAGATCACTAGGCCTTTAGGTGATCCTATAGCTTTATGCAACTGCTCCATAAACCATTTCCAATTGTCCTCTGTCTCTGAGTCAAAAATGGCGTAAGCCAGATGATACAACCAGTTGTGCCCATCTACAACAGTAGCTGAAGCCAACTGCCCAGTGTATTTACCATTTAAGCATGTGGCATCTACCCCTACAAATGGTCTGCAACTTGCCAAAAATCCATCTACACAAGGCTTTAAGGCTACAAAAATCCTTTTGAACCTCTTCTTCTTATTCCCTTCTATCTCTATTTCTACAATGCTTTCTGGTGAACTAAGCTCCATTTGTGCTTTCCAGTTCACCAACAATTGGAAACTTTCCTCATATTTACCATGTATGTGCTGAAGAGCTAGCTTCATACCTGCCCATGCCTTAGAATACTTCAACTTGATCCCATAATCATCTTCCAGTTTGTCCCTAGCATCCTTGGCACCTTTGTTTGGATTTTTCTTGAGCCATTCTATCAACCTGCTAGCACACCAGTCTTGTGTTGCCATTTTTCCTTCTCTCAGCTTTGTAGTAGGACAGTTATGCTCAGCAGGCAATACTTTAATCTGCAACAAAATTGAATACATGTTACAAAAGTATACCAAAAACAGTTTACAATAGAAAAATAAGAATACACAGGTTGTACCTCTATTGTTTTGCCATCATAAATCCTTGACGCATGTATTCTCCATGGGCAGCCCTCAGCTTTGCACTTGGCAATGAACCTGGTCTTGTCAGTCTTCACATCAGCAAATTCAAATCCAGTGATCACAACATAGTGCCTCACAGCTTTCCTGAATGCTATGATATCAGGAAACAAGGCACCTTTCACAATGTTGGGATTTTCTGGATCATGAAGGACATTTATCTCCTGAGGATCTGCATCATTAACTTCTGCCTCAAGAGGAACACCTCCTTCAGCAGGAATATAATCAGAATTGTCATCAACTGGTTGTGTTGCAGTGGCATTTGTGGTTGGCTGTGCAGGTGGTACTGAGATATAGATGTGTTCATCATCAACGCCCACGTACTCCTCTTCATTATCAAACACATGTCCGGCTCCCTAGCAGACTCAAAGTCCGCTCCTTTGTTTGTAGCTTCAGTGGGTTACGGCATGTTTTTGTGGGTTCAGAGCCTCTATATTGTGTTTTTGGGTTCAGGGCCTCGGCTTTTGTGGTGGATTCACTTGGCTAGGTTGGTCATCATCGGGAGGAATAACACAGAGGTTCTAGCTTCGGCATAGTCATCAATAGATGAATCTTGAATTATCAAATACACCTAGCAAGACCTGGCAACACATCTCAGCCTTATACATAGAAAACATATCTAGCAAACTGTCATCATTCACTAATCGACATCTTCTCCCAAATTCTTGTCAAAGAACCACAATCTGCCACACTGGCGAGATGACCATTGCACCTCTTTGGCTAAAACATTCATCAACAAGTCTATGGTTAAAGCACCTATGTCCACCTCCCACTTAATCAGAAATCCCTTTAAGCCTTGAACTTTAATCTCTAGCATGAACAACTCAGGCCTAGCACGAAGAATGGAAATGTAAAGGGGAAATCCCACAGCAAAAATGGGTCCATCCCCAACAGTGGCCGATCAATAGAAAATTTTGAAAGTTGGTAGAAAATAGAAATGTATAAAAAATCTTTATAATGAGGGAACAATAGATAATTTTGAAATCATTAGATCAACTTTAACTTATGTAAATAATGTAAAAATCATGTCAAACAAAAAGCAAGCAGTCTAAACATAGTACACTTTGCCAGTCATACTACTTGATTTATGTACAAAATGTAGAGAATCAGTTCAGATTCTGAACTTTCCCTATTCTGTATATTAGCTTTGCAAACAGGTTGACTCACATTAAGGAGAACCACAAGTTTCAGAAAAATGGCAGAGAGGGTCACAGGGAAGATGATCCAGCAAAGGGCCTAGCACACATCGTCAATGAAATCAAAGGGAAACATGAGCTAAAGTATGACACCATTATATTGGATAAGTTGTTCTTATTCATTTATTATAGATGACAAAAAAAATTCGAAAGTCATCTCTCTGACATGTTGTGTCAATGTATGTATGGCATGCAATTACTGGATACTGGGGTGGAGTCAGGCCAGGTGTAGCTGGAATGGAGCACTACGAATCAAAGATGCAGCAGCCTGTGTCATCACCAGGGGTTTTTCTGAATAAAAAACGAGCCCTGCGATGCTTTGGACAGCATAACGACCAATGAACTGGGCCTTGTGAACCCTGAGAAAGTATTCAGTTTCTACAATGAACTCCACTCGTATCTTGCATCTGCTGGGATCGATGGGGTCAAGGTAGACGTGCAGAACATCCTTGAGACGCTGGGTGCTGGCCATGGGGGAAGGGTACTGCTAGCTAGAAAGTACCAGCAAGCTCTAGAAGCTTCCGTCGCTAGGAACTTCCCTGACAATGGCATCATATATGCATGAGCCACAACACTGACAACCTATACAGGTAAATAGCTTATGCTGAAATATCTTGAAAGCTTTGTTTTTTTAGCAAAATATCTTGAAAGCTTTCTTTGGTAAATCAAAGATGTTTATAAAAATCATGTCAAACAAAAAGCAATGAGTCATAAAAGATGTTTATTGCAGAAAGATTATAAACACAATATCTCTTCAAGTCTACAACTAACATTTTTAAATGGTGTAAATCAAAGCTTAAAACATCAGCTACTAGCTGGCTCTCTCATCTCGCAAAGCGTAGATGCTGCCCAATAGCCCAGCAGCGGTACCTCGCACGGCCCTCGTCTTCTTCGTATGTTCATGTACATGCAAATACAGAGATTGGTAGATCCGCCCCTGATCCCCAACTACTCTAGTCATACCGAGGGAAGATTTTGCAAGAGATAAGAGATTACCTGGCCTTGTTGCCAGCCATGGCCGACGAACTGCTCCCACACGGCTCGCCGGTCACGGGGAAGTCTATCATCTTGCTCAAGCCACGACCATGGACTCCAATCGATGTGCAGACTTGGGGAATCAAATCTCCTTCACCACCACCACCTACTCCAGGCACGAATCGCCGCCTGCACAGGTTGCACAGGTCGCAGGCAGTGGTTAAGTACCAAACAAGCCTTCACTTGCATACCTAATCCTACTGGTTCGAAGCTTTAAGCAACTAAAGCTCTTTTCTCCCCACCTCTCCACTCAAGTATCCAGCTGCAATTAGCAAGTTCATTGAGAGCATGGAGTGGAGACCATGAAGCAGACCATGGACATTGAGATCTACTAGGTCGAACGGGTGGAGTTCCTTACAGGGAGATGACGGAGCCCTGGGGCGCGGAGCAGATCACGCCACGCCAGTCGCAGGCGTTGCCATCCGCGTCGAGCCTGCACAGCCTGCGCCGCCGCCGCCGTCGAGCCGACTCGCTTGCGCCACCGCCGACTCGCCTTGTTGGGTTAGGGTTCGGGGACGAGGAGAGAAGAGACGAGAGAAAGACCGAGAAAGAAAGCAGAGCGAGCCGCGAGCGACCTTGACTCCTCATGTAAGTCGGATGAGGCAAGGGCAATACGGACCATACGAAAAATGTTTCGGTATACGTACGCTTGCAAGGTGGGCCACAGGTCGTTGCAAACGTACTTAATGTCATGAATCACGTTTCACGGGAATTACAATGGCATATTTACAATATCACGAATTACAATGGTATATTTCTAAACTCGAAGAGTTACAATGGCAGCATTCCAATTAACCCTAAAGAAAAACAACCTTTTTTAGCTTCTTTGTGGCAGGAACAAATGGGTCAAAAGGTGGAGAAGATGGCGCACGCGCCCTGCCTCAGGCATCGGGGAAGCAGGCGCCGGGGAAGCGGCTGCCACATATCGAAAATGAGATGGCGTTGCGGGAGTTGGAGGCAGTGGCTCAGCAGCAGGGGAGGGCGGCGGCGCAGGCGGTGGTGCAGTGGGAGAGAAGGGTGGTGACACAAACGACGGCGCAGCGGGAGGGAAGAGTGAGAGTAGTTTGCCTGTAGCCGAACGGCTGAGCTTAGGTGCTGCCGTTGTTTGGGCTGCCGAATGGCTGGGCTCGTTGTATAGCTGCAGCCCAAACAGCGGCTTAACCCACATATTTACAAACCAAGGAGCTTTATTCTGGTATCTAGAATAGTGGATGTTATGGCCTTAGAGTAGCTGGTAGAAGTAGTGGCCGATATTGTGTAGCTATGATAGTTAGGGTGCTAGTGAGCTAATCACTCACCTGTGGTGAAGATCAAGGGCCATCATTGAGCTCACCTGGGATGCTTGTTTACAGAGGGTGTGTACCTATTCAATATGGATATAGATCCAGATGCTCAAGAAGAGGATGCACAATGGGTCAGTGTCTTTATTGGTCTTCAAGATAACCATGCTTGGGAGTTTGTGAGACAGTATCAGAAGAGAAAGGTAAGATAATATTGTTGTTTTATGATTTATCGAGTTTTATGTAATTTTTGAATAGAAAATAATCATCTTTCACACATGCTATTTTGAAATTAGGTCAATAATAACTTTTATGTGAGAATTTGGAGTGCACTTTATAATTCAGCTGATAATTGGACTATGCGAGTTTATCGTTGCAGGTGACATGATCTTGCGGAAGTGGACCCGCCGGCGCCGGCGCCGGTGCCGGTGCTCTTGCGGAACTCACTGCCCTGGCACATGAATCCCAGGATGATGCGGTGGAAGATGGAGCCCTTGAAGGACAGCCGCGGGTTCCCCTCGTTGGTGCAGAAGACGCGGAAGTTTTCCGCCACCAAGGGCATCTCGTCCTTGTAATGGTCCATCTCGATCCGGTCCTGCTGGATGCCATCGATGGTGACGTCGAAGAACACACGAGGGTTCTTAGCCGCCGCCGCCGCCATCTCGAGAGATCGAAAACTAGGGTTTTGAAACAATATTTTCTGTCCAGCTCTATGGTTATTAATTCGGGTTCGCAGACCCCTGTTCTTCTCTTTTGTAAAGAAACAAAGGGCATGTGGTAGAGTTCTGGCACAATATGCTTGGAAGATAAAAAAAAAGAATCAAACAAAGAAGGAAAAAAGAAATCGGACAGAAAATCGCAAACGTCGTGCCTGAACCCATTAGAAGCGCGGGGAGCTGTTTGTGGCTGCGGGATGGGCCTGGGCCTACTCACTGCAGTGGCCCAATTGGGCGTGTAAACTTGTAGCCCACCAAGCGTTGCGATGCATGCAGCAGATGAGCATATGTTGCTAAAAAAACGATATAAGCTATGCGATGGTGCATCCGTTGACCATGCACTGCAAACTCGAAAGGTGACGAGCACAACAAGGTGGAAAGAGGCAGGATGACTTTGTGTCGTGGTCGAGTAGCTACTAGCTAGGGTATGAGCATGACCGTTCGTGACGTGACGTCACGTCCACTTACTGAAATCCGTCCCTACAGCTGTATAGCAACTAGCAAATGGAGACATAATCTGATCTGTTTGGTTCGGTGAGTCACACCGTCCAGAATGAGTGCATCCGTCATGGGTTCACTCTAGTAGGATCGGTTGATGAATTTGCGTTGTTTGGTTTGGTCACGGACCATGTCGTCCGATGGTTTCCGGAGGGATGGAGTAGCGACGCATTTATACAGGGCTGATGACGGGCGTATCCATTCTGTGACTTGAACCAAACGCCAGCGGCAGGCTCGGATGTAGGTTCGGATCATTCCGCAGCATCCGGCAAACCAAACAGTATGTTCTCCTCATCATCACAGTATACTCCGCACACACTCCCCTAGCGACGGTCGCGCCGGCGAGCCCGCACGCGCCACGGCGGCTGCGCCAGTCGCGCCCGGGCGGCTTCGCCCCGGCCGTGCAGGTCGTGCCCCGGCGGCTGCGCTGGACGTGTCCCAGCGGCCGCGCTGCACGCTCCCCGGCGGTAGCGACCGCGTGCGCCCCGGCGGCCGCGACCGGTCGCGCCCCTGGGTGACGGACCTGTCGCGCCGGCGGCCCCGCACGTGCCCCGGCGGCCGCACTGGCCGTGCCCGGGGGTGGCCGCGCCGTTTGAGCCCTGGCAGCCGCGCTGTTTGAGCCCCGGCAGCCGGTACTGTGCGCGCGCGTCCCGGCGGCGGAGTCCCGTCCTGCGCCCCGATGGCGGCTCTCCGGCCCCACGCCTCCGCCCCCAACAGGTCGTGCCTCCGCGCCCGCGCCTCGACCGCGGGCCAAGCTATGGTGGCCGCGCCCCCTGCGAGCTGCGCCCTGGTGGGCACGCCGCCGACGGCTGCGCCTCTGCGGGCACGCGCGCTCCCTCTCGGAGCCTCTGCGCTCTCTCCCTGTGCTCGGTAGTCTTTTGTGCATGCTGGGCCCACATGTGTCAGGTGAAGTTGTGATAAGCTAACTCATCTCTTTTGAGAGGAGAAAAACAACTTAGCCATAAAACTATTTTAGAAATGAGTGTTTGAAAAAAAAAAAGCAGCTCACAACAGCTTTACGAGATGTCGTGAGCTATGCCAAACAGGCCCTATATTACATACAACTAGTTGTGACAACGAACATTCTTTAGTTACATATACATATCCTCGACTCCATCAGTGTTTTGTGGAGCAGCTAGCTCTCCTACGGTATGTAGCTGCATCCTGCGTAGCTTCAGTGTGGTGCCAGATGGTATATGACACGTACGTACGATGCATGTAGGCGCACTAGCTAGTGGTGCAAAGGAAGTTCATACAAGTCAACAGGAACATTCTAGGAGTATTATTAGCGATCGAGACCACGGCCGGCCTGCCGGCCTAATTAAGCTACCGATATGATAACAAGTAAACAAATAAAGATTATCATGACAAGGACTGTCACGTCCCTGGCTCTAGATTTGTCACTTGGGATATGATGATGATGCTCCCTAACTCCCAACGTTTCTGTATTCATGCATGCATCATGGACCAAGTGCATGCGTTGGCCCATGTCTTCGTTCTCCTGTATGTGGCGCGTGCTATTTTTTTTTTCTTCAAAGAAGACAGGCACTACGGACCGACCTATAGCTATAGGCGTCGGAGCGAGTCGTACGTCGTTGTCGTAGATCAAGCACTCGTCGTACCTACCGCCTGTTATATAGCCTGAAAGTGACTGATGAATTCATTCATCAGATATAGATCGATCGGTTGCGCCAACCACAAGCATCTTGACTTCTTGAGCATGCATATATGTGGTTGCATTGTGTGGACTGGACAAATAAAGTTCTTTTAATTTTTTTCTTCCCATCATCGTTATTGTTCAGCTAAGCGACTGTACGTGTGCAAGGTCTTTGGGCTTTGGCCGGCCTGTTAGTAGGAATGTGATGCTGCAGATCTATCTAGAACAAAAGCACGATGCATGTTGAGAAAAACTGTTGGCAGATCGGTGCATGCATGGCCATGTGCGTTCTTGGCCAGCGCCAGCGGCGTACAACCGAAGTCATATATACATGCATGTGTCATGTGTGCAGCTACAGCATATGAACGTAGCAGTGACCTGACACTAGTTCGTCGTTGTGCCAACGGTAGTGCCGTATTGCAGAACAGTGGGCCAGTGGCCAGCACGGCCGGAATTTGTCCCTATCTAGAGTAAACAGCATGCATGCCTCTTCTTTTTTTATGCCTCGACTCTTAAGTACAGGCTATAGAATATCTGATCTCACGTACCTAATTCACACCATCACACGCACATAGACTCACTCACACACACTAATGCGTAAGCTAGTCCTACACCTATAAAAAAAGGCTACACGTGGCTGAGAGGTATCCATCAGACTTCGCACGTGACGAGCACATCACTCTGACCATTATAGCGCATACACGTGTGAGGCTGTAGAAATTGGAGAAAAACCCCGGTGGAAATCATGTGCCGAGCTCGAACACATGACCGGTGGTTTCCACAACGGGAGAACCAGCCGACCGAGCTACGGCTCGTTACCAACAGCATGGATGCCTGTCTCGCAGTCTCGCTCTTCATTCTTCATGCTGGAGAGTGGAGAGGCCAGCGCACACATGACGACGACGATATGCTTTTGTTTTGGGTCCGGCCGGCCGGGCAAGCTTTTGTTTTGGGTGGTGTGTTGCTGCATCTGCATGCATGCATGTGATTGGGCATCGGCTCGCTGTCCCCCGCCAAGTTTACATTGTCTCGTCGATCGGCTTGCCGGCCGTCGTATAGACTGTAGTACGTGTACACGATGTTGATACAGTACAAAATATGGGTGTCAAGGTGTACGTGTCCCGCGCGCGCCGCTGCATGCACTCATGCATGCACTGCGGGCCCGGGCCGGAACAAAGTAAGCGCGCACCGCGCGGGATAGACAAGTGACCGTCGTGTTCGCATAGACCTCATTATCGATTATTCATCGGTCAAATTTGGTCATATACTTGTTTATCAGTATGACTAGGTAAATGTCCATGTGTTGCAACGGAAACATATAATACCACGATAACATATGTATGAGCATGTGTTATATACTGCTACCAATATCGAGGCATGAATATTATTGCGGAAGTGCATGCCTAATGAACACCCACCTATCGACAACTTAGTTGTGCACCGATCTACACGCTAGACAGACATCATGCTACCCATCATTCACATGTCTCTCTAAAAAATAAAATGGCCACGAGTTATATGACATTTTATGAAGATTACTTCATAAGAGCAGAACTAAGCCGATTAACTATATATTGTACTATGTATCAACTTACTTCATTATCAGTCTGTCACATAAATCAGTGTATGACTAACCATACAGTAAAGAAAGTCTATCACATAAATCAGTATATGATCTAACCACACAGTAAAGAATGTATTTGAAGTCACACCCTGAGACCCTGGCCTTTTGCCGTTAATTCTGCATTCCAAAGAATAAAAAGAAAAGAACGATAATTAGTAGGATAACATATAGAGTAATAATTCAATAGGATATCAGATTGTACAACAAGCTTGTAGAGACATTGAACTTCCGATCGGTTACAATCTTCCCTTTGACAAAGACATTGCATAATTAACTGCACAATTATGAGACTGGCAACCATTGTAGCATAGCCTATATTTTACCTTGCAAAGACCCCATAACTTCACACCTTGAAATGTTAACTTATTTATCTTTACTGATTTCACTCTTCTAATTATACTGTCAGAAGAAACTATTCTTGTAAGAATTAAAGCAAGCACGGAATTGAAAACCAAATGTGTGCTTTAAGATAATTACTCCTGATGTCGAACGAAATAAGAAAACCAAGTGCGTGCTCTCAATAATCTGGGAACTAACCTAGACCATGGAGAACACGTCGCCCCAAGCATCTTTCAGCGTCTTCCTTGCTCTGTTGTGATGTTCTCTACAAAGCCTGCGAGAGAAAAATGCTTACCTTCTAAAATCAATTTCTGAATGAACAATATGGCAGTTAGTGTGAGGGGTATAACCCCAGGTACCCACGGCAATGGACATGGGCCGCACCACCAGGGGAGGTCCAGCCCATAAGATCAAGGCCTACGGTGCTCGGCACTGGTCGCGCGTGCACCGCAAGGCAATCAGAAGACATCTTGGCGATAAAGAAATATCTGTTCGGATATGATAGATATCATATTCCTTGTAAATACTTACCATATAGTCGAATAGATCTAGACTTAAACCGACCTGTAACCCTACCCTCCAGACTATATAAGGCGGGTAGGGACCCCCTCGAATGCATCTCATATTCAATACAATCCACCAAAGACACAGGACATAGGGTATTACGTCGATCGGACGGCCTGAACCTGTCTAAATCACTGTCTCCGCGTCCGTGTCACCATCCAGTTTCTATTACGCGCACCTCCACCAATCATCTACTACCGTGGGTATAACCCTCGGTAGACTACCGACTAGATTTCGTCGACAGTGGCGCGCCAGGTAGGGGA